GCGCACACACACACACATACAAAGCGTAGACAGTCAGACACACACATACATAGCGCAGACACACACACACAGAGACAGTGAGAGAGACACGTGGCTGTGCTGATGAAGTGAATCTGAAGTGAATGGCTGTACTTCATTACACTCGTGCACTGTTTTAAAACATGTGAAACTCACTCTTGATCCCGTCTGATGATGATTGATGATCCTAGCGAACTGAACAGACCTTTTATTCCCGGTTGCTTTGCACTCCGGAGACATGTTAATGCGCGCAGCTGTCAATCAATATTGGTGGGCGGGGGGACCGCTCTCCTACGTCAAGTTGCGGTCCATCTGAAAACCACTCCAATTGGTCCACCGTTTTTATGTTGTTAAATTTGAAAAAAAAAAAGACTGGATGTGTTTATTTCACCCCAATATGACGGTCTATACCAGGGGTCTCAAACTCAATTTACCTGGGGGCCGCAGGAGGCTAAGTCTGGGTGAGGCTGGGCCGAATAAGGGATTTCACAAAAAAAAGTCCTCAAATGTCATTATTAACAGTTTTAATGATTTCTTCTGAACATGAAGTGTCCTGAACATTAATAGAACATTGAGTGAAGATTATGAACAGTTCTTCTGAACATTTGCCTACTTCTTGCTGCCAGAGACTTGACAGCGCTTCTTCTCACAAATCTGAACCACATTTGGCTTTAGAGCGGAAGCAGTTGAGACCCTCAGTATGGCTTGAAGATGATCATCATTAAGTCTAGACCTGTCTAGACTCACTCAAAACTTCCATTCCCTCACCTAAAAAAAAGGCGTATATATGTATAAATAAAACACCCCCACCCCACTCCAGTCACATCAGTCTGTACCAGTCTGTATCTACCTATAATATATATATAAGATGCAGGCTGTAGCTAGGTAGGTGGCAGGCTGCAGATAGGTAGCTAAGTGGCAGGCAGGGGCGGGAACAGCTTACCTTGGTTCTGGCCGGCGAGTTCTCTCCAAACACTTCCCGCCCGTCACAGCATCTAACAAAGGGGCGGGGTGCGTGGTGACGTCACCAGCATCCCCGCCCCTTTGTTTACACGGCGGGCGGGGAATGCCAGTGGCCGCTGTGTACGGATAGAATCAGCGGAGCGGGGAGCGCTCTCTTTCCCCGCTCCGCTGATTCTGTCAGTGTACAGCGGTCGGCGCGGGCCACAAAATATTGCACTGAGGGCCGCAAATGGCCCGCGGGCCGCGAGTTTGAGACCCCTGGTCTATACACTATACCTACACACATGTATGTCCAAACCGCTTTAAAAGTAGATTTTTTCACCATAGGTGCCCTTTAAGTCAATGCAAATAGACATCCTGTGGCGCGAATGACGCAGCGCGAGTTGACTGGCATTTAATAAACATTTAACTAGTTAAATAATATGCAAATTAGTGTGGGAAAATAAAACAATCATGGCTGGGAAACTCAGATAGGGAAAGCAGACTAACAGTTCAGAGGAAAAGCAAGGGACTTTTGTTCAACACTGGGAACTTTTCTGACTGCTCATATAGTATTTGTTTACCTGTTTTCTGTTTGACCAAATATACCAGGAGGCTATATAATGATATGAATATGTATGCAGCATGTAGATTACTATTTGGTTATTGTTGGATTTCCAAAAAATATATCAAGGTCACATTTTATCTTTAAAAGGCACAGTATTTCTATTTTCACCACTAGAGTGAAAAACTAGAATGCATTCATTCATTCATTTTCCTTCAGCTTTATTCATTAGGGGTTGCCACAGTGGAAGGAACCGCCAACTTATTCAGCATATGTTTTACACAGTGGATGCCCTTCCAGCTGCAGCCCAGTACTGGGAAACCAATTCAATTTAAATTACACCATTTATTCCAGTGGTTGAGTTTGTCCATTTTTACCCAACATTGGGTTAAAGCAACTCAATATTTTTAGAGTGTTGGTTGGATATTTTTTTGTTTCGGTGTAGGGTTATTGTAATGCAAATGCAGTGCATGGAATAGAAAGCTTGAGGCATTTAATAAACAGAGCCATCAACATCTGTTTAGTTGGGGAAATCAAATGATTAAAGAAATTGAGCTATATAAAATTAAAGTGCTTATTTTTGGTTTAGCATCACTAGAAAAAGTTCATTAATTGATAAAACTTGCAAAAATGAACACTACCTGTCAAGTCTTTGCCTAATGCAATTTTTAGGAACAGCAAATATTAATTTGATTTCTAGTTGATTATTTGGTGTCAGAAGTGGCTTATATGAAAGGCAAAGGCCTCTAGATTACGCTTATATTACCAAAATATGATTATGTCTTGATTTTTAATGATTTAATTAGGACAGTAAGGTCTGACTTTACTTAGACGAAAGTCTTGTCTCTGAACAGAAATAATGTCTAGCATAGAATATAAAGTCATGCTGCAGTGGAGACAGAATGAATATTGTGTCTGACTCCATCATGAGCTTGGAGAACTGCATCCATACATCTCTGCAATGACTCAAATCACTGATTAATAAAGTCATCTGGAATGGCGAAGAAAGTGTTCTTGCAGGACTCTCAGAGTTCATCAAGATTCTTTGAATTCATCTTCAGTGCTTCCTCCTTCATCCCACCCCAGACATGCTCAATAATGTTCATGTCTGGTGACTGGGCTGGCCAATCATTATAGGGTACCTTGACCTTCTTTGCTTTCAGGAGCTTTGATGTTGAGGCTGAAGTAATAGAAGGAGCGCTATCCCGCTGGAGAATTTGCCCTCTCCTGTGGTTTGTAATGTAATGGGCAGCACAAGTGTCTTGATACCTCAGGCTGTTGATGTAACCATCCACTCTGCAGATCTCTCGCACACCTCCATACTGAATGTAACCCCAAACCATGATTCTTCCTTCACCAAACTTGACTGAATTCTGTGAGAATCTTGGGTCCATCTGGGTTCCAATAGGTCTTCTGCAGTATTTGTGATGATTGGAATGCAGCTCAACTGATTAAATCTGCCTTCTGCCATTTTTCCAAACGATCAACTAGAAGTCAAGTTATTATTTGTTGCTCTTACAACTGGAATCTACGACAATACTTTTGTCAGGTAGTGCAGTGTTAAACCACTGTTATCATTATCAAAATGGCTTGATATCATCCATAGCATCAGATTCAATACTCTAATGGCCGGCAGCTGTTTTTCATTAAGGCCGGGATGTCAAACTCAGTTCCTGGATGGCCGCAGCCCTGCACAGTTTAGTTCCAACCCTCCTACTTACCTGTAGATTTCAAACAAGCCTGATGAACTCAATTAGTTTTATCAGGTGTGTAATTAGGGTTGGAACTAAACTGTGCAGAGCTGCGGCCCTTTAGGAACTGAGTTTGACACCTGTGCACTAAGGGCTGTCTATGCTAATGAGGGAAAGATTGTCACTAGTGGGAGGGGCTTTCCCCCTCTGATGACACTTACAATAAGAGTATGTCAATCAAAGTGTTTCTGCAGACTGTTTTTATCAAGTGTGATTATAAACAATTGAGTTAATTAATTTTTACAATTAGCAGCTGGTTCTATTCACAGACTGCTGCCACACAACTATGTTTAAACCTTTTATAAAAGTGATTTCTGCATAATAGGTCCACTTTACTGGTTTCATGCTGACAGACTACAGGGAAATCTAGAATTAACTCACCTAATATAAATTTTCATTCATTCATTTATTTTATTTTCGCCTTAGTCCCTTTATTAATCTGGTATCGCCACAGCGGAATGACCCACCAAGTTATCCAGCATGTTTTACGCAGATGCCCTTCCAGCTGCAACCCATTACAGGGAAACACCCATGTACACATTCACACACAAATATATCACGGCCAATTTAGCTTATTCAATTCATCTATAGCGCATGTGTGTGGACTGTGGAGGAAACGGAACACCCGGAGGAAACCCGGTGAGAACATGCAAACTCCACACAGAAATGCCAACTGACCCAGCTGGGGCTCAAATCAGCGACCTTCTTGCTGTGAGGTGATTGTACTACCCACTGCACCTCCGTGACGCCAATATAAATTTTAGCTGGTGAAATTATTAGTCCTCCGCTAATGTCTAAAACTAAGTGTGGTATGTTGAACACTTCAACACTCGCAGCTTTGCTCATGCAGCAGAAGTGGAGGAGCTATTGGCTGCTGAGGTTGGATTATGTATTCATTTTATATTGTGCTAGAAAATTCTCCTATGTGAGTGATTATTCCTCATCCCAATCATAAATGCGCTACTATTTAGTAGTTTGGTCATTTATTTCACTAATTTGGCACCAGTTAAACGTCGACTGGGAAACTTTCCAATTAGTAAAAAAAGGTAGTGATGACATCTAACTCTATGCTACACGGTCGAGTGTGTGAACTTAAAGTGTGCTATTTGGGATGTATCTACATAATCTTATGCGTCATGGTTACGCTAGTCTTCCTCTGTATACCCAAGCTGTAGCGTCATTGGGAAAAGAGTTGTAAATGGTGACTATATAAGGAAGTGGTGCGCACTGTTGTGTTCACAAGACACATGTCCAAGTATCAGTTCCTGATAATCCAGGGAAAATGACACTGATATCAAATTACTTTAATGGTCACATCATCAGCAGCACATGTGCTATGATGAGTGAAAAGCTTAGGTGCTGGCTCCAGACAGTGCAAAATGCTACAACATACTCCCAAAAAAACAGGACAATGTGAAATTGGCAATGTTGACAGCGATATGTACAATGAATAGGTGTACACATAGTTGTAGGCAGTATTGTATTAAGTATGGATTGGTTCAAGCACAGTGCATGCTACATATTGATGGTGTGCAGTGAGGGGTTTGGAAGAGTCTGTGTGAGGTGTGTTAAGTGTTCATCAGCCTGATAGTCTGAGGGAAGAAACTTTCCTTGGGTCGGCTGGTGCGTGACCGGATGCTGCGGAACCGTCTGCCTGAGGGTAGAGACAAGTTAGCAGGGAAAACAGGGTAGCTAAATATATTTTTGTCCCTTTGTGTTCACAGATTCCTCCGCCATTTAGACCTGAAAAAGAACAATGTAATAACACCACCTCTGAATATTACATGAAACAACTGGGACTTTGCTGCAGTAGATGCAAACCAGGTACGTTATAAAACAAGAATACATGACTGTCTGTGTAATGATGAAGTGTTAAATGATTTTGAAGCCATTTAAAGTTTTATATCTCTTCTAGGGACTCGCTTGTCTGTGCAATGCAGTACTGCTTCGGACACCATTTGTGAACCCTGCCCAGATGGAATGTACTCAGAGAATATGAACCATTATCCCAATTGTTTCAAGTGTCCAACATGTAGAGAAGGTGAGTTTTAAACAAAAAGGCCTTCAGCATTATAGGCCATTTACATGGCAGTATTTTTAGTCAAAAACTGGAAAGCTGTATATTATACACACACACACAGCACTTATGTTACTGTTACTTGATCTGCATATATAATTACAGTCATTCTTTCATTCTAATTGGTAATTTAAAAAAGTGTTCCTGTCCACTTCTTACCAGAGAAAGGACTGATGTACGGCAGGAACTGCTCCGCTGATACCAAAGCTGTCTGTGTTTGCAAGCCTGGAATGTACTGTTCGAAGTATGGTTTGTCATCTGCATGTGAGGAATGTAAAAAATACAAAACCTGCAAACCCGGCGAAGGCGCTCAAAGAAAAGGTAAGAGGCAAATATAATCTGCTGTAGCTACAGGAAGCAAACATTAATATTGGAGCTTACTAGTGATTATTATTATGTGTACTTAAGTTATTGATGATTTTTGTAGTGGTGTTGAATTTGTCTCATCAGGAAAATAATTAATTTTACTTAAACATAATTATCGTAAAACCATCTATATTCTGTAAAGTGATATGTCAATACGCTGCTCATCCGTTTGCACTGGCTGCCAGTTGCTGCTCACATCAAATTCAGAGCTCTGATTTTTGTTTACAAAGCGACTTCTGGCTTTGCTCCTTCTTATCTGCTCTCACTTCTGCAGATTTATAGGACCTCCAGAAACTTGCGTTCTGTGAATGAACGTCGCCTCGTGGTTCCATCCCAAAGAGGGAAGAAATCACTTTCCCGAACTCTCGCGTTCAATCTGCCCAGTTGGTGGAATGAACTCCCTAACTGCATCAGAACAGCAGAGTCACTCGCTGTCTTCAAGAAACAACTAAAAACTCAACTATTTAGTCTATACTTCACTTCCCAATCTGCAATTGCCTCTCTGGCTCCACCGCTAACTGTATTACCAAAAAAAAAATTTAATAATGTTTTGCTTCTTACACTTTACACACCTGAAACTTGCCTGTAGCACTTATTCATTGTTGCTCTTATAGTTGTGTTAGTTGCTTCCTTGTCCTCATTTGTAAGTCGCTTTGGATAAAAGTGTCTGCTAAATGACTAAATGTAAATGTGATATATAATTTAAAGGTGACATCGCTTCAATAAAGCAACAAGTAGTAAATAATAACGCAAATATTATTTTTATGTATTATTTTTCATTTTTATAATTCTTTAAAGTGGCTTAAATGATAAAAACACACGTAAATGATAAATATTTTGGTAATTTCATGCTTAAACATTGCATTAACTCCACAAATCATAAGTGTTTTTAAACGTGGCTGCTAATACTGATTATATAATACTGATTCATCATTGCAGATCCTGTGATGTGACTAGCATTGCAGATGCACATATTGCAGTATCAATGCAGAAATGATATGCATTGTGCAGCCATAGTTCAGTTGTATGAAGTGTCATCATGATAATGTGTGTTTTTATTTATTTATTTTTTTTATTCAGGAACACCTACAGGTGTTGTGAAGTGTGCACCGTGTCCAACTGGGACGTTTTCAGACCGCAGTGGCTCTGAGCCATGCAGACCACACACCGAGTAAGAGGCACACATACAGAAAGACTTACAAATGCACACACATGCACATGGCTGATGTCTTTTTTTTCTGTTAGATGTGAAGGTAGTGCAGTTTTAAGGTCTGGCAACTCTACAGATGACACAGTTTGTGTAGTGAAACCATTAAAAGCAACGCCGGAAATATGGCCCATGAATACTATCAGCACATCGACTGTTTCTGTATTGAGCAGCGACGTCAAACACAGCAGCACAGTGACGACAAACGCACAAGGGACCCGAAGCAACCCTCCGCCTGACTACATGACCATCATCTACATCACTGGTAAAAAATAAAAATAAATAAAAGTTATTTTCTGAGCTTTTTTTTAAATCACTGTGGCAGAAGTCAGGTTTAGGGACACTATGCAAATATGTATGGAGCCAGATCAGTGTTACAAATAATACATTTACAAAACTTAATTCATACATTTACAGCACAATTCACATTTAAAAAATACGATTTCACAATACGAAACACAATTAAAAAATACATAAATCCAATTCAGAAATTTAAAACGCAATTCATAAAAACACAAATCCAATTTGTAAAAATTCAAAACACGATTCAAAAATACACAAAAATCGAATTTGTAAATTTAATACACGATTCAAAAACACAAATTCAATTTGTAAAAATTCAAAACGCGTTTCAAAAATCACAAAAATCTAATTCGGAAATTCAAAACATGATTCAAAAATACACAAATCCAATTTTTCAATCCAAAACACGATTCATAACATACACAAATACAGTTCGTAAATTACAAACATTATTTAAAAAATACTCTAATCCACTTCGTAAATTCAAAACACGATTCATAATATACAAAAATCCAATTCGTTAATTCAAAACCATTTCATATATACACAAAAATTCAATTCGTAAATTCAAAACACGATTCATATATACACAAAAATCCAATTCGTAAATTCAAAACACAATTCATAATATACACACAAATCCAATTCGTAAATTCAAAACACAATTCATAAAAACACAAATCCAATTTGTAAAAATTCAAAACACGATTCAAAAATACACAAAAATCGAATTTGTAAATTTAATACATGATTAAAAAACACAAATTCAATTTGTAAAAATTCAAAACATGTTTCAAAAATACACAAAAATCTAATTCGGAAATTCAAAACATGATTCAAAAATACACAAATCCAATTTTTCAATCCAAAACACGATTCATAATATACACAAATACAATTCGTAAATTACAAACATGGTTAAAAAAATACTCTAATCCACTTCGTAAATTTAAAACACAATTCATAATATACACACCAAACCAATTCGTAAATTCAAAACACAATTCATAAAAACACAAATCCAATTTGTAAAAATTCAAAAGACGATTTAAAAATACACAAAAATCTCATTCGTAAAAATTCAAAATGCGATTCATAAATACACAAAAATCCAATTTGAAAATTTAATACATGATTCATAAAATACAAATCCAATGCGGAAATTCAAAACATGATTCAAAAATACACAAATTTCAATTCGTCAATTCAAAACACGATTCATAACATACATAAATACAATTTGTAAATTCTAGACATGATTAAAAAAATACACTAATCCACTTTGTAAATTCAAAACAAGATTCATAAATACAAAAAAATCCAATTTGTAAATTCAATACACGATTCAAAAATACAAATCCAATTGGTCAGTTTGAAACACAATTTGTAATTACACAAAATTCCAATTTGTAAATTCAAACATGATTCATAAATTACACATCCAATGTATTTGGCGAAAATAATTATGCATTTTACTTGTAAATTCACAAATTGTGTGTTGTATTTACGAACTATTTTTGTAAATGTGAATTGTGCTGTGTATGTATGAATTTTATTTGTGCATGTATTATTTTTGAGACTGATCTGGCTCCATAAATATGTTCCGCTTGGAATGTTTGATCAACCAATCACACTCAAGCATTTCAAATCCAATATAACAAACCTTTAAACACAGACAGTTGTGAGTTTGACGAATTACGGATACGTTTGTTGAACTCATCTGTTTGCATAAATTCAACTTAATTTAGTATTAGTATTTCTGTTTTATAGCAAATTAATATAGAAAAACAAACATTATTTTTACCCATGATGCTGTAGCATTCTCTGTATTTCTAGTTACGATTAAAATATATATATATATATATATACACGCACACACATAAGATTACCTTATAAAAATTGAATTTATAGCATTTTCTTAGCAACAAATAAAAATTGGGTCATATTTTCAGACTTGTTTATTTATAGACATTATAATTGTTTTATAATTGATTTATAATTGTTTATATATATCGTTTTAAATCAAAGTTTGTTGTAATTCTTAAAGATAATATTTTTTTTTTTTGATTAATGGTTAAAAAAAAGCTTAAAATCCCTTTGAGAAAAATGAAAGCAAAATTTGTATTTAATAACAAAAGCATATATACTGAGTTCTTCATGCTCTTCATAAGTAACACTGTAAATTTACACTGGTGCATTGAAAGACAACCTCATACCATCCATCCAGATGAGTAAAGCCTGGTACTGTATTGTTAGTAAATCCCTAACCAGCCTTGAGTTCAATTATATATCAATGTGTCACTTTTAACTGTGTTTCTGCGAAATTGCTTGAATATTTCACTCTCCCTGTAATGCATTTGTTTGCTCTCCTCCATCTGAGCTCTTCATCAGTGGTTTTGATTTTCTCTGGTCTTTCCAGGTGCTGTTGTGCTGGTTTTGCTGATTCTGGTTATGACGGTGGTTACTTGCAAGTTACGAGAACGAAAAGGTGTGATAATTTCAATCAAGATCAGATTTTGGTTATTCAGCTAAATGCTATCAGCTGTTCAGATTCACGTTGTGTTCTCTCTAAATCATCATCATCATCAGTATGGTTTTAAGATCAGTATGCTTTCGGTGACATTTTGTTCTTCCTCCAGCAGGTTTAACAAAAGTTCCCATCACAGATGTCAACACGGTAGGTTTTCAAGTGTATTGTATACAATGTAACGCAATATTATTTTGAAATTGTTGCAAGTTTATTAAAAATAAAAATGCTGAAAAATCACATGTACATCAGTATTCACAGCCTTTGGTGTGAAGCTCTAAATTGAGCTCAGGTACATTCTGTTTCCACTGATCATTCTTAAGAGGTTTCAGCAGCTTAATTAGGGTTCACCTGTGGTAAATTCAGTTGATTTGACATGATTTGGTATACACCTGTCTATATAAGGTCCCAGGGTTGACAGTGCATGTCAAAGCACAAACCAAGCATGAAGACAAAGGAATTGTCTGTAGACCTCAGAGACAGAATTATCTCGAGGCACAAGGCTGGGATAGGTTACTGAAAATTTCTGCTGCTCTAAAAGTTCCAATGAGCACAGTGGCCTTCATCATCCATAAGTGGAAGATGTTTGGAACCAACAGGACTCTTCCTAGAGCTGCCCGGCCATAAGCTCGGATGTGATCGGGGGAGAAGGGCCTTAGTCAGGGAGGAGATCAATAACCCGATGGTCACTCTGTCTAAGCTCCACTGTTCTACCGTGAAGAGAGAAGAAGCTTAAAGAAGGACAACCATCTGTGCAGCAATCCACCAATCAGGCCTGTATGGTGGAGTGGCCAGACGGAAGCCACTCCTGCCTGGAATTTGGCAAAAGGCATCTAAAGGACTCTCAGACCATAAGAAACCAAATTCTCTGGTCTGATGAGACTAAAATTGAACTCTTTGGAGTGAACACCAGGCGTTACGTTTGGAGAAAACCAGGCACCACTCATCACCAGACTAATGCCATCCCTACAGTAAAGCATGGTGGTGGCAGCATCATGCTGTGAGGATGTTTTCAGCAGCAGGAACTGGAAGACTAGTCAGGATAGAGGGAAAAATGAATGCAGCAATGTACAGAGACATCCTGAGTGAAAACCTGCTTCAGAGTGCTCTTGACCTCAGACTGGGGCGACGGTTCATCTTTCAGCAGGACAATGACCCAAAGCACACCACCAAAATATCAATAGAGTGGCTTCACAATAACTCAGTGAATATCCTTAAGGATGGCTGTACGCAGTAGCCTCCCATCCAGCCTGATAGAGCTTAAGAGGTTCTGCAAAGAGGAATTGGCAAAAATTGGTGTGCAAAGCTTATGGCTTCATATTCAAACAGACTTGAGGCTGTAATCACTGCCAAAGGTGCATCAACAAAGTATTGAGCAAAGGCTGTGAATACTGATGTACATGTGATTTTTTTAGGTTTTTTATTTTTAATAAATTTGCAGCAATTTTAAAAACTCTTTTTTTCATAATGTCATTATGGGGGATTGGGTGTAGAATGTTGAGGAAATAAATGAATTTAATCCATTTTGGAATAAGGCTGTAACATAAAAACATTTTATGCACTATGAATACTTTTCAGATGCACTGTACATTAGATTAATCAGTTCTAAAGTCAAATCTAAAGCTAAAATATATAAAATAAAATATATAAAAATCAATAAATCAACTAATCAAATAAATAAATTTTTTGATTTATTTGATTATTTGATTTATTGATCAAATAAATCAAATAATCAACTACAATGACAATAAAAGTTCTTTACTCTTTACTTTATAATGATAATAATAATAAACAATAATAAAGCCAAATATTCTGCCAGTGAGGAAAGTAAAATAATTTCATATCAAAAGGAAAAAACTGATTTTTTTTTCTTACCCCATTGACACATTATTTTGCTTGTTTTAAGCAAAAAAATAAAAGACACCCAATCTTAACATTATTTTTGAAAACAAGACAATAATGATTTAGGGAATTTGTAGATATTTGGCCTAGAAATTAGTAAACTTTTTTTTGCATGAAGCAAATCAAACAATATGAAGCGAATCACACTGCATTGTGGCATTCTGCTCATCTCTTGTGGACTCCAGGTGGAGCAGGATCCCTCACAGAGCAGCACACCTGACCATCAGCATCTGTTACATGTGGACAGAACCCAGACGGAGCCGTCCATGAGCTCGTCAGACAGTCAGAGTCAGCCGGACTGCGGTCAGAGCCACAGCAGCAGTGAGTGGCTGGAGCGCAGCAGTCAGGACGAATGTCCGTCCGTCTCCAGCCCTGTGCTCAATCTCAGCATCACGGCCACATTCAACTGCCAGCTCAACCCGGCCGCGACGTCCTGCTCCATCCCCATCAACCCGTCCACTTTGACGCCACACGCCGAAGCCCTGGTGCCGCTTTCTCAAGAGGAGGTCTGTACATCATCCTGCCAACAAGAGGACGGCAAAGAAGTGCTGAAGTCGGTGCAGGAGAGTGGCCCGTTCCTATACTGAACATCACACGCTTCCATTCACATCAATGCATTTGCTTTAAACATGTTGTATTGTATGGGCTGAAACACACCAAGCTGACACCAAACAACTAGCATTGCAAGAGGATGTGTTTTCTTCTCTGCAGAGGGCAGTGTGTGTTTTCTCATTCCACAATGGGAAACTGAACGTCTGACGTGCACAGTCGAAGAGTAAACAGAGCAGTGTTATCACAGTAATGGTCACTCAACACGAAGGGATTCGCTCATGCAAATATATCTGACAATCTAATAATTCGTATCATTTACAAATATTTGAGACATATACTGAAGTTACAGCCGGCCTCTTTGTGTTTCTTTTTGACTTGAATTGTTTACTTGCTGTGTCACTTCATTACTTCACACCCGCGCTCTGATTTCCTTCAGCTGACGCCGATTTGCCATGCTGAATTGAACCAACGAGCTCCGATGTTAACCCGACGGGTCGGAACACACCAAGCTGATGCCAAACAGCTAGCACAAATGAAACATAACTGTGTTGTTGCCTTTTGTTGGATCGCATCTGGACCAAAAACCTGCATGTAAATGCATCAAACACACCAAAGTCTAGTAAAACCAGAGCCTCGTTCTGTGCCTAGAACGAGTAGTAGGCCAGTAGTAACGCCAGTAGGAGGCAGTGTCGGTTTTCTTGTTCTGCAAAGGGAAACTTAACTTTCAACGTGCTCAGCCAAAGTGTAAACAAAGCAGCGTTCAGTACCATTATTACAGAAGTTGTCACTCAACACAGAGGGATTCACTCATGCAAATATGTTTGATAATTCACATCGTTTGCAAGAAATGTGTGAAATATAGCGAAATTACGGCCTCTTTGTGATGTTTTTTTGGCTTGAAATGTTTACTCGCTTCGTCACTTCCCTATGTCACACTCATGGTCTGATTTATTTTTTGAATAACCCGTAAGAGTGGTCTCCTGCCCACAGTGATTTGACTTGGCCAAAGAGCCTTCTAGGTTAACCCCATGGGCGGGTACACACCAACCCAATGCCAAACTGCTAGTGAAAAACCAAACCCAACTGTGTTGTCACATCTGGACCAAAAAACAGCTCGTGACCACACCAAACGGATGATTGGACATGCTGAATTGGACCAACTGGGACACACCAAGCCAACGCCAAAAAACTAGCACCAACTAAATCTGTGTGTTTGCCTCGCATTAGATTATGTCTGGACCAAAAAGCTGTGTGTGAACACACCAAACAAAGGATTGGACATGCTGAATTGTGCCAACCGGGACACGCCAAGCTGACGGCAAACAACTAGCACCAATGAAACCGAACTGTTGTTGCCTCGTGTTGGATTGCGTCTGGACCAAAAAACAGCTCGTGACCACACCAAACGGATGATTGGACATGATAAATTGGCCCAACCAGGACACACCAAGCTAACGCCAAAAAACTAGCACCAACTAAATCTGTGTTTTCGCCTCGCATTAGATTACATCTGGACCAAAAAGCTGTTCGTGACCACACCAAACGAATGATTGGACTTGCTGAATTGGGCCAACCGGGACAAACCAAGCCGACACCAAACAACTAGCGCCAATGAAACCGAACTGTTGTCGCCTCGTGTTGGATCACGTCTGGACCAAAAAACTGTTTGTGACCACACCAAACGGATGATTGGACATGCTGAATTGGGCCAACCGGGACACAGCAAGCTGATGCCAAACAAGCAGCACCAATGAAGCTCTGTTGTCTCCTCACGTTGGATTGCGTCTGGACAAAAAATCTGTGTGTGAACACACCAAACAAAAAGCAGACTCAAAGAAGAACCATGTTCTGCACCTGTGCAAGAATACGTGTCTTTCCGCTCCGCAGGGGGCAGCAGGGTCAGTTTTCTTGAACTTCTGCACACACAGACAGTGTAAACAAAGCAGTGTTAAGCTCCATTATCACTGTAATTGCCGCTGGATTCGCTTGTGCAAATATTTCTCAAACTTGATAATGTCTTTATTTTCTTTTTTCACTTGAATTCTTTACTTGCTACGTCACTTCTCTACGTCACAGTCGCGCTAAATAACCAATCAGAGTGCTCTCTTCTGCTAATGCCCATTCGACATGATGAATTGCTCTAATGTTAACCTGTTGTGAGGCGATGTGTGGGTCACCAAACCAACTCCCCGGACTGACAAAGCTCAACAGCCGACAAATGGCTTGGTGTGTCCTGTCATTGTAAAATAGTATGCCATGTAAATAAGTGTTTTATAACCATTTCATGTCTTAATGATACGGTTTACTTAAAACTGACCGTTTACTCACACTCAAATAGTTCAATGGATGTCTTTTATGCATTCTTCAGTATGTTTTCCCCTGTATTCAACATAAGACATAAACTCAAGCAGGTTTGGAACAAGAGTAAATGATGATGGAAGGTTAATTTTGGGTGAACTGTCCCTTTAAGAGCAGAGTTGCTGAAAGATTCATTTGTTTAAAGGGGTTGGGAGATTCCTAACTGCAATTTAATGTCAAACATAAACAAGAAAGGACATTTAATTTAGACTTGGCTCTCAGTATACTATTTAAAGGCTAATTATCTGCTTTTATATTGATTGGTGTCTGGTTAAACGTCTACACTTAGGATTAATGCATTTACCAAATATCTGAATGCAAAATAATGTTAAACTTTGATGAACAAAATTGCATATATTGCATTATTATTATTATATATACATAATAGATAAGTATTTTTTTATCATCAGTCAGTGTATTGTGGTTATGCTTTTAACAAACAAATTGATTAAATGTAAACTATCTGAATGCAATATAATAATACACTGGGTTAAACTGGATGTTTGTTTCTACTTTAGTACCAGTTAATGTTTTGTGCACTAATTGATTTTTTTAATACAGAATTTCGTATGCATTTCATGCTAAACAAGGATAAAAAGGGCATTTTTCTTGTTGCGAAATATATATAAGCTCATGTTACTGTTTAAGAGCTAATTGGTGTTTTAGTTCATTTAGTTCAAGTCTTACTTCATAATGATCAATTGTGTACCCTCAGATAAAGACATTTGCTAAATACTTCTATGCAAAGTACTGTTAAACACAGGAACATGTATTGCACTTTTATTTGCACTTTGATTGATTGAAGGTTTGTATTGCTGTTTAATCAATAAGTATTTTTTTCAGTTCATTTGATGTCTTCTAATTGGATGTTTGACTAAATTAATGGACAGAATTTATGTGCTGAGATTACATTGCATTTAGGAACTTTTGAGTGCATTGAGTGCATAAATAGGGGTTTAAGAAGACTTTGTATTGTAATATATATTGCATTATGTTAAAAAGGTTTTGTATCATTACAGGTTAAGATTAGGGTAAAACGTGTTTAGTTGCTTCACTTAAAAAAGTGAGTAAATCCATCACCTTAGAAGCAACAAGCCGACTACTTGAGTAAATCTGTTGTAACTAGGAATGGTTAAGTTGATGTAAAGTAAATTTTAGAATTATACACTTAATTCATTTACTTGATCATTTTAAGGCAATGAGATTACTTAATTTTTAGTAAACTAATCACTTTAAAAGCAGTGGGTTAGCTTATTTTTAAGTAAAGTCAACTAATTGCTTAAAAAGCAACGGGTTTACTCACTTTTTAAACTCCGCGGAGCTGGTACTGGGGTCCGTGACATCATCAACTTTCACTTTAAGATTTTAAGCATTGCACCAGACCCCCTTAAGTGGTTTTGTTTGAAAGTGTAGAATCTATATTTCATGCACATATGCATCACTTTGGTTTTTATTTTACTGTATAAAAGTTATTTACACTTAAAAACACAATATTTTGGATGCCCGAGCTAGGTATTTTACATTGGTTCATTTTCATATGACAAATGTACAAGTTATAGCTCAAATGAAAGCTCTTGCCGGTGCTCATATGGTTCTAGCATTCTTTTTACTGAATTATTTTCACATATCAAACAGTTGCTGAATGAATCGTGTACTTTCATGGCGCAGAAGTGAAAACAATACATTTATGATCACTAAGCAGCCCCAGATAGCACAGACAGCTGCCATCTCTTATCTTATGCTGTGCGCTTCAGGGCCATTCTCCTCTGTTTTTGATGTGATGTGCATAAGTAATCCTTTTATATGTCTGATGTGGTCCAAACACAGTGAATTATGTTTGATCAAACAAAAGAATAGTGAAATATGAAAACAATGATCGATCCCTGTGGCTTGTACAGCACCTCTCATCAGTTGGAATGCAATAACGTTTGCATAGATTATAGTAGAGACATTTTTCTTTTTTCCTATGATTACAGACGTGTGCAGGAACCACAAAAATTAATTACAACAAGCAAGACTACACAGAACCTATAAGGTACACTTTTAAATTTGAGTTAATAAAAAACACACACACAAAGCTCCTCATTTTAGGTGTTTATTATAACACAGACAACATATACAGTTATTTTAAACACTTTCAATAGTGTTTTATGAAAATTCAAAGGGTTTCCTTTAAAATGATACCAAATTTTTGCATTTACACCTCTGCATGTGGATTTGGGAAGCTTTTAAATTTGGGTTGGCAAAATCCAGGCGGAAACCCCCAAATAGCAGCAGAGTTTAAGTTGACTCAAAAAAATGTAGCAAACCCACACTGTAAAAAATGCAGGGTTCCACACAATTCATTCATGTTGTCCCAACACAAATTGATTAATTCAACACTTTTAATAAATTTATGTGGTTTAATCATAAAAAAAATTAAGCTGTCCTAATGAAATTTGAAGAATAGTTTTTTCAGCTCGTTTTAAATAAGTAGTTTAAATGAGCAAAAAATATATTTGAGTGCATTGTTTAGTAAGAGATTAGTTGGCCTTACTTAAAGTGAGTAAACCCAGTGTTTTTTTAAGTAAAGTCAACTAATTGCTTCAAAACCAATGGGTTTACTCACTTTTAAAGTAACCAATATTTTTTATATTTTTTTTTACAGTGTACATTGCTACTCTAGTGCAGATGAATGTTTTTAAGAAGTCAGGATGGTTGAAGTCTGATTTAATTGTTTATTTGATTAGAGTAAATGACACAAAGTTAATTACCAGGGCATTCAGATTATCAGTTAACAAAATGAATCAGACTTTCTGCCATTCTGCAAATCATTTCACCAAACAGGTTATGCAGAGGTAATGAGAATCATTTAATAATACCAAATATTAGTCTTACTGATATATTGGTCGGCCTCTAGTCTTGATTCTGTACATTAGTGAAGTGTAATTATTTATATCTTTACTTCATTTAGTAATTGACAAACATTGGGATCATAAAATGCTCCCGAAGTGTAGATTAGTTCAGATGAATGAAGTGTGCACCACCTAGTGGTTATTTTCTCTACCTCCATTACAAACTGACATTCTGTTGGTTTGTTTTTTATATTTTATACCATTTTTATGAGTAATCTTGTGAGTGAAATGAGAAATTAACCCTGTGATACAACACAACTTTGTCAAACTTAAACATAACAATAGAAGTTGAATGTATTGCTCTGCCAAGTTGTTGTTTTTTTGCCAGAGACAGTTACAGATATGTATACACTCTCAGAAATAAAGGTACGTGAGCTGTCACTGGGGTGGTACCTTTTCAACAAATTTGTATCTAAAAAGTCCATATTAATACCTCAAGGGTACATATTAGTACCTAAAAAGTACAAAAGTGTTCCTCTTAAAATGTTTAGGTACTAATATATGCTTTTGAGGTACCAATATGGACCCTTTAAGTACAAATGTGAACCTTTTGAAAAGGTACCACCCCAGTAAAAGCTTGCAAACCTTTATTTCAGAGAGTGTCGAGTTATTTTTATACAGTTTTTATATTACACTTGTAAATATTTTTTGTAAATATAAAGCAATATTATTCATATTGTTTGTCTGCATTTGTTTTCTATCAGGAAAGTTATTGCTATTGTTCATCAAACTTAAACAACTCCTGGTTTGTTTAAACTGTAAGTTGGTTTGATTTTGCTGTTAAATTTCATGTTTTCTCTTTACAGTGAGGTTGTGTTGGTTTAATGTGTTAATAAAAAGATACTACAGTATCTGTTCATTTTTGTTAACAATAATTGAAATAAAATTGTTCATTGATCATGTTAACTTGCAGTGCTTTGGTTAGATAATGAATATGGATACTAATATTAGCAAAATGTTAATAAATATTATTCAAGTATTACAGCAAGTAGGTCGCTGGTTCGATCTTCGGCTCATTTGGTGTTTCTGTGTGGAGTTTGCATGTTCTCCCTGCGTTCGCGTGGGTTTCCTCCGGGTGCTCCAGTTTTCCCCACAATCCAAAGACATGTGGTACAGGTGAATTGGGTAGGCTAAATTGTCCGTAATGTGTGTGAGTGTGTGTGTGTGTGTGTGTGTGTGTGTTTGTGCGTGTGCGTGTGTGTGTGTGTGTAGATGTTTCCCAGAGATGGGTTGCGGCTGGAAGGGCATCCGCTGCGTAAAAACTTGCTGGATAAGTTGGCGGTTCATTCCGCTGTGGCGACCCCGGATTGATAAAGGGACTAAGCCGACAAGAAAATGAATGACTCTTTAACCCAGTGTTTCTCAACCACGTTCCAGGAGGCCCACCAGCACTACATGTTTTGGATGTCTCCTTTGTCTTTTACACCTATTACAGGTCTATCAGTCTTCGCTAATGAGCTGGTGATCTGAATCAGGTGTGTTTGGTGAAGGACACATGGAAAATGTGCAGAGCTGGTGCACCTTCAGGAACGTGGTTGAGAAACAATGCTTTAACCCACCCGCTTCGAATGTTGAATGGGCCTTATTAGTAGTTATCAGCTCATAGATATGGTCCAGTAGGGTCCTTCATCCATCCACACTTTATATCACTCCAATATGACTGTAGAACCACTATACCTGCACACAGTTTTGTCCAAACGACCTACCAAAGATGATTTTCACCATAGGTGCCCTTTAAAACATGAATCCCAAAATACGTAAAACTGCTAATTTACAGATATACTTACAATGCAGGATATGAATGATGCATTAACAGTATTCACCTGGTGGAAAATATAAAGGAATCTTCCACAATCATCTTTTATTCAGGCCGAGTGTCTTTGATTTCAGTATTTCCTTCCCATGACAGCAGTGGAAGTGGAGAGAGCGAGCTGCGGCCAGAACATCTGTCTCACAGTCAGACCACCGGCACAAAACGCTCTTTAAGATGAAAGTGTATGGTTAATATGGGGCCGCAGGACAGCCTGCAGCAGCGGGTCGATACAGGTGTTAACAGACTTAAAGAATCAGACTAGTCTCTCTTTAGAAGCTGATTAAATATTGATCATGCTTTGGATGCTCTGCTGTTCTGCAGGTGATGGAAGCCACAGTCTGTTTGTTGTGGGATCGCTTCAGGAAGCCTGGTTTGCATTTGTAGCTCATTGAGTAATCGCTTGATCTGTTCTAGCTATTTCGGGCAAGAATCTAGAAGCACGTTTTTGGATGCTTTGCTATTAGTGGTGTGAGTGTTTAAGGCGTACGAGCTTTTATTACTAAAACAAACAAGTGGTAATTATGTTGGCTCGAGAAAGCCAACATACTGTTATGCTACTCTGTCCTTGAAAACAAACGTATCTCCTCCTAGGCCGTTCATGCCACAATGCCCAAATGTGGTCAAAATGTGCCTTCTACATTCAAGATTGTTGCTATATCTCCTCATGCCTATAAGACTTATCGTTTTTTTAATTAAAAAAAAATTTATTTTATTTTTTAATTTTTAATCCGGGCATATAAAAAAATTATACAAGCCCCAAATTTGGCCAAAAGCTGTATTTAGATGCGTTAGATTTTGTTGCTTTATCTTTAACGTTTATCAGACTTATAGTTTTCCAATAAATAATTTTTAAGCATTATTTTTCTTAAAATATGGCAAGCCATTTTTGACTTAAACTCCATATTTTTGCTGATGTATGATGTATGTTTGCATGTATCACCTTCACACTTATTAAGCATTGTATTTTCAAAAAAATACGGCAAGCCATTTTTACATAATGTTCTTTCCCTTAGTCCCTTTATTAATCAGGGGTCGCCACAATGGAATGAACCGCCAACTAATCCAGCATTTGTTTTACACAGCGAATGCCCTTCCAGCTGCAACCCAACACCAGGAATACATAATGTTCAAGTCCAGTTT